GGCCTGAGGTCACCAATGGCAGGAGGCCGCCCTCCTTAGCATGTGCTCTCTAGGCCTGAGGTCACCAGTGCAGGAGGCTGCCCTCCTTAGCATGTGCTCTCTAGGCCTGAGGTCACCAGTGCAGGAGGCCGCCTCCTTAGCATGTGCTCTCTAGCTTGCTTTGTCAGAGTAAGCCTGGGAGAAGAACTGGAGAGAGCACCTACTGGCAAGAGGAAGTCACAGGTTGTAACCTAATTACAGAAGTGACATCCCATCACTTTTCCTGTATCCTTTTGTTAGAATCAAAAATCATCCAGCCCACACTCAAGGGAGGGAATTACACGAGGGTATGAATACTAAGGCGTCCTTGGGAGCCATGTCAGAAGCTCCCAGCCCCGCCACTCAAAAGTTAGGATTTCACCTGTGTAGTGTGGCTGTGTCAGTAAACATGTATAAACTCAGTGCTGAATTTATTTTCTGGTATTGACAATGACTTGGTCCTGTCAAATAAAAGGTGGAAACTGATATGAAATATGTTAGTTGTTCAGGTGTCTTAAAAGTTTTAAAAATATTAAAAAGGATACCTGCAAAGTTGAAATATTGATAGTATCACTAGTGAGTCTGTAAACACTGGGAAGAAAATACTCATTTCTGAGTTTTTCATGTTCTATGAACTTAATCACCAAAGACCTGTTCTTCTGCTTGTGTTGGTTTGCTGCAGCTCTATTCTGCACGTGATGTGTATTTGAAAACAGTTGTTCAGCGTGTTAGTTTAGAGCCCTTCTCTCCTTTTGGTCTTGTATTCATGAGATTAGGAAAGAAATTACTGCATCTTAAGGTTAATGTGCCTTCTTATAACTTCTTCAACTTCTCAATTTTCTAAGTATTGCCTTGCTTTCAGGTGTCCTTGCTTTTGCAGCAATAGAGGTGAAAAGGGAAAAGAATGATTAAACATGAAGTTAACCTAGTTTATATGTGGAGATATAACTAAACTGTGATTATAGGGTTTTCAGGGAAACATGAAACTCTGTTTTAGCTTCTTAAAAAAGGTGTGTACTAGAAAATAATGTGTGCAATAAATTGCCCAAAAGGTCACCTCTTCAGGGGGAAGGGGAGGGGCAGGGGACATCTGTGTGATTTATTATTATCATTATTATTATTATTCAGAAGCTTTACCTTACTGTAATTAAATACATTGTTGAAATTCCCTCCCCCCCCCCACCCATTTAAGCACCTGGGCCAGTTAATATGTGGGCATGATCACTGCCAAAGTGTTGAGATTTCAGTGTCTCTGGGCTACTCTAAGACAACACAGTGCCTGCATGCCTGAAGTTAGCAGGACATGCCCCATTTAAGATGCATTTGACAACCAAATAAGGTTGTGTATGCCAGAGTATTAGAATCCTTAATCATTTTGCCAAAAATAAGTTAGCTGTTATGTTTTATAACATATGAAGTGTGATAATAAGAAACTTGTGTTTCCATCTCCTCTGTTATTTTTACTGGAATCTTTCACTCCCATAAGATTTTGAGATCTTATGTGTAGTTTAGTAGCTGGTTTATTTGGTTTTATTTTGGTTCAGTTCTTTACAGTATTTTTTTAATTAACTATTCTATGGGTCTCAAATCATTTTCAGAAAATTATTGTATTCATCAGATATATTCTCTTACCTATATTTTAGTACACTGAAAAAATGCCTCTTTAAAAAGCTAATATTTAAACTTTTATTTCTTTAAACAAGTTTGATCCATGAAATTACAGAAATTCTTCATATATTTTCAAAGCAACCAAAATAGGGAATTTAAAAAGAAACTTGAGAAAATATGTGATTGGAAGACTGTAAAATAGTAGTTGTCATGACTTATTATAATAAACATAATTTTTTATAGATTCATCTTAAAACTGAGATAGGCTTTAGAGACAATCTAGCCCCATCTTTCATTTTATAGGTGGGAAGTGAGAGAAAGGTACTTTGCCGGGATTTGACCTTGGCTCTGTCTAAATCCTGGTGTGGGATATGCTTATATTAACTGTGGATGGAAGGAGAATCTAAGAAGATGGCTGATGAGTCTGTCAACCTTTGAATGATAGCAGAGCTTATAGATACTACTGTATGTCCCTGTACTGTACACAGCTACTAAATCCATGTG